CTGACAATTTTTACGAAATAATATTACTGATACTAATATCCTTATTTTTAATTATTGCATTTTCTTCATATTTATTCATATTTTCATTGGCCTTTCTCTATTAATCTTTAAGATAAATAATCCTCAATTCGAGTGTAAGTTCTACTAATATTTTCGAAAAATTGGAGCCCATATAATTCATTTAAAACAAAAAAAAACATTTTATTTCTTTTGTATTTTCATATGAAATATTATAGTAAATGAATATTATATTTTGTACTATTACTTCAAAAGGTACATTTTTTTCTTTATGAATAGTTTGGTGTATATGATCAAAAATTTTATAAAAACTTACATTTATACCAATTCCTTAAGGATAATGTACCTTACTTTGATACAATTCTATTTGCACTTCTTTAGTAATACACTTCTAAAATTCTAGACTCATATTAGCATAACCACGATTTTTTAGATTACTTACTGTACATTTAGAAATAGAAATCCATATACTTCTTATAACAACAGTTGTATTTGTAACCGTGAAAGTTCTTTTATTTAAACATGTTAGTATAAAACATGAGTAAAGATCAGCAGTTATTTGCATAAAATATTCTTTACATTTCTATATTTGACTTAATAATCTTTTAATGGCTTTGTTATCATTGAATAAACAAATTAATAAAGAGCATATAGAATAAACACTAATTTGTTTTTATTAAAGTAAAATATTAATCAAGTTATTTACTTTTGTTAATATTTAGTCTTAAATTAGTTAACTACTATTCTAGTTAATTTACGCAATACTCTATATGCATCACATTTAGAATTACATTTTTAATTTTTTATAAAAAAAAAAATTTTCATTATCATTATCCCATTAAAAAAAAAAATAACTTTTTTTCACGTAATTTTTTGTTTTTATAAAAAAAAAATCATAAAATCATAAAAATTGTTAATTTTTTTAAGTCAGCGCCATATACAAAAAAAAAAAAAAAAAAAAAAAATATAATAAAATATATACACATCTTTTTTTTTAGTGTACTTTTAATGAGAATATTTTTTTTTTTAAGGCATTTACTTTTAATGTAAAATTTTTTTTATTTTATATACTTTTTGTATACTCTTTTATGTATGTACATTTCCCCTTCATTTGAGAATGTACAAATAAAAATGTTTTTACTCATTTTATCCATTTAAATATTATTGAAAATAAGTTGATAACATTACCTATAGATTCTACATATTATATTATCCATAATAAAAAAACTCATAATCTTTAGTATAACAGACTCTTCTATATTAGTAGGTTCTATCATTAAATTTAATATACTATTTTTGATAATAAATGAAGACATCATCAATGTAGTTTACAGATACAACATATTGAACACACATTTTTATCCAGTGAGTATTTCTAAATTCTTTCTTTTGATAGGATATATCCTATATTAAAGCATCACGTACATATCTTTTCTAGATAACTCTTGCTTTTTTCTTTATTTTAGAAATAAGTAATTAAAAATAACCTCTTAAAAACCTTTTGTTAGTTTATAGAAATCCATCAGGTATATTTACTTTGGTAACACCTTTATCTTTCTTTATGTTAAATAGATCCAATATGTTGATGTCTATTATATCTTTAAATATCTTTAATCCAAGTTTTATTATTTTTTCATTTTTGAACTGCTAATTCAATGAGGTTATACTTGCACAGGCTTCAATAAACTCTGTAATTAAACATAATTCTATCATTAATTTCCCATTCAAAAAAATTTATAAAGTAATGAAAAAAAAGAAAAATAATGAAAATTTAGAAACACTTCTACTAGTTTTATTTTAAAATCAATTATTTATTGTAGGTAATAAGTGATTATTACATATTACTCTATATAATATAAAAGATAGAATTTATTCTATTTAAAATTTAAAATTTTATATTGATGATGTGTCAAATAGGTATTTTATTATTTTATGTTTAAAATTTGTAACAATGTTTATATATTATTATAAAAATTATACACTATTATTAAAACTTTAATCATTATCTACAAACTTTTGATAACCTAATATACATATACTATCTTCCATCAAAAAAAATCAACTATTATAAATGATTAAATTTTTTTTTTTATCAATCTTATATAATAACATAAAAAAGGGAAAAACAAATTCACTCTCTTTGAATAAAAAATATATAAATGTTAATCAAAAAAAAAAATTTTTTTTTGTAATAATACTGAATTATGCATATTCTATAACACCTTCAATGAACTACAAAACTCTTATCTGTATTTTATTTCCTTCTATTGATAGTTTAGGAAGGTAGGTAACACCCTTTGTTGACCAAACATAGTAAATTAACAATGAAAATTAATTTCTAAATTCATTATTATAAAACTAGAAAGTTTATTATACATAAAATTCATTAGGAGTAATATTACGTAATATGGTATAAATTACGAATACGCACTTCTACTACATGAGCCATATTGTAGAACAATAAAATGCAAGTTAACTTTAAAAAACCATTCAAATAAGTTGAAATCTAATTTTTTAAAAAAGCAAAATGTTTATAGTTTATTCTATAGCATCAAACGTCTTCAATAATTAAAAATATTGCACATAATAAAAAAAATAAAATAATTAGGAAATTTTCATAAAATAGTTTTTACATATATATGATATATTTTCAAAATATATATAATATTTGAAAGAGCTATTTATAAAAAAAATAATATTTAAAATAAGATGACATAGGACAACAAAGCAAAAATTAATCTATAATATATAAATAGTATGATATAACAGACTATCACCAACAAAATAAAGTGCAATGATTTTTACAATGCCATGATGTCACGATGTAATTACAAATAAAAGAGATGAAATCCCTTCCAAACTTTAATATTTACTAATAAGGGTACATTATTTAATTCAGAAATATAAAATTTATGAGAATAAAAAAGATGATATTATTCAAAAGATAATTATCAATAAAATTATATCATTTCTTCTTTTATATATAAATATAATTTATTACGCGCTTCTAAAAATAATAATAGTTAGGATACACACAACCAATATCTAAAGAGGTTATGACGTTATAATAGTAATATGCCTAATAAAAATATTTTCATCTTAATAAAAATCAATGACAAAATGATACAAGTATCGAAAGTTTTTCTATTAAAAATTAAGAAGCAAATGTTTGTTCTTTGGAAAAATGTTATAAGTTAAAAATATACTTTACTATAGAAAATAATGTAATATACTTTTCTTAAATTTTTATTTGACATAATTATTATACGCATTTAGATTTCTTTAATATAATAATTTTTTAATATAACATACTATTAATTTAAAGAGAAAATAAAATTTCATTGATTATAATCAATAGAAAACATATTTTACATATATATTTAATTATGAGTTTATAAAAAACATTCATGATAAAAAATATTTAAGATAATTAAAACATAAATAAAGAAAAATTATATTAAAATAAAAAAATTCACAAAATTCTTAGAATAACAATAAAAATGTTCAAATTTGTATGGAAGTTTAAAGAATATAAGTGCTATTATTTCTTTTTTAATATTAAAATATTTAAAGAAAAAAAGAAAATGACAATATAAAAAAGAACAATATATGTTTTTTTTTTTTAATTTAAATTTTATAAAAAGGTAATGAAAAAAAATTTTAATATTATAGATTTTATTTTTGCACTAAATTTAGGATACTTTTTTCTTTAATTTTCTTTTTATATTATTTTTTGCTTTATTTTATATTTGTACTTTTTTTTATTTATATTTATTCGAAATTTTTTTTTTTTTTTTTTTTTTTTTTTTTTTTTTGTATCTAAACCTTTATTTTTTTCAATAATTTTAAGAATTAAATCCTTTTTTAATGAAAAATTGTAAGATGATCTATCAAATAAATATATTTAAATTAACTTTTTTTTAAAACAAATGCTACATAAAAAACCACAATATGAAAAATTGAAAAATTTTAAAAAAATTAAGTGCTTAAAAATTGTGTATAAAAATAAATTTCAAATATATATAGTTTTCTATGTAAAAAACTTTTATTTTAAAACAAATTTTTAATGAAAAATACGTAAGCAAAAAAATATTCATAAATTAAAAAAAATTTGATAAAAAAATCGTTATTAAAAACTTAAGTGGAAGATAAATTTTTATATAAAAAGCTTTTATATGGCAATTTCTTGGATACAAAATTCTAAATAAGAAAGGTTTAGTGCAAAATTTTCTCATAAAACATGTTTAAAAGATAATATTAATGGAAAACATTTTTAAAAAATTTTATGTAAAAAAAATTTTATTTTTTATATTTACCTTTCACATTTATTTTATCAAAAATTCTTATTGAATAATTTTATAAGTGGAAAAATATTAATTAATAAAAAATGAAAAAAATTATTTGTTTTTATACACATATTTTCTCTAAGAAAAAGAAGAAAGATATCAACGAAAACTCAATAAAATAGGATGATATAAAAAAGAAAATATTTAATTTATAAACAATTTCATGAATAGAATTAGAGTGAAAAAACATGAATTTAAAAAATTTTAGTTAGAATTTGACATTTCTATATTTTTATATTTTTCGAAAAAATTTCTTTTCTTCTACTGAACTTAATGAAAGAAAATATATGTTTTTCCTAACACTTTTATTTTTGTTTGGTTTACCTTCTGATAAATAATACAGTTAACACAATATATATTATGTTCTATTAACATATAGTGTTTGTTATTTTGCAACTATGTTTTTTAATAAAAAACATGTTTTTGCCTTATCAATGAAAAGAGAACCGTTGTTTTTTATAATTTTTTTTTTTTTTAATCGGATTTCCTTTTAATTATTACTTAATTTTTTAGAATTATTAAAAATTTTAATATCAAAGGAAATAAAAATATTATAAGATTTTTATTTCTCTAAATATATATTAGAAAATTATTTTCTTGTATAAACATAGATATATTTTTCTTTTTACTTCTATTATGATGTTTCTTTCAGGAAAATCATTTTTCTTTTTATGTTTCATATTTTTATTGCTTAGGGTAATAAAAAGTGATCACGTTCATCTTTTAAATGATGAATTTCTTGCAGTGGAGAATCCTTTTTATTGTATTCGAGAGAGTTTTATTTACTTTCGTAATGAAGTATATAAAATTTGTATTCATAAAGGTGAAGGTATGGATTCAAAATTAAATATATATATACAAAAAAAAAGAGAGAATTTATGGGAAGTTCAAACCGAATTATTTCAAGACAGTAGAAAAACGAAACTTCCTTCTTTTTTCAGTTATGTGGTTGACGAAGAAATGATAATTATATTTTGTGAAATTACGGGTTATGAAGTAAAAAGAAAGTTTGATTGTACCCGCTCAGTAAGTAGTACAGGAATAGATTTTAAAACAGAAAAGGTAGTTTTACCTTATGATTTAATGAAAAACAAAAATATAACATTTTATTCATCAGCTCCTTTTAGTTTTACGAATCACAAATATTTATTAATTTGTGGTATATATAACAGCGCATTAAAATCCCCGAAACAAGGAAATTTCATTAATTGTGCTGGTAGTAATGACAAGGGCCTAAATTGGAAGTAAAAACAAAATAATATAAAAAAAGAATGTTATATATTATGGTTTTTAATTTTTTTTTTTTTGAATACTTTTGTATGTATTTTTATGATTTATTTAAATATTCTAAAACTAGGTATATATGCTTTTGTATGTTTTTTTTTTTTTTTTTTTTTAGAACCAAATTTTTATTTCATTATGATAATATTGAGGATTATACCACATATTTTTTATTAAAACCTAAAATACATGACAATAAATTGGGATTTTTCTTTAATTATGTTAGTTCATCGGGTGAAAGTGGTAAATATATAGAGTGTGAACATAAATCTAATCAGGACTTTAATTGTAAAGATGTTGATTTTATTAAGAAAGACAAAGCATTACGTGATGTTATTAAAGTAAATGATTATTACATCACAAGCTATGCCAATAAAAATAGTTCCGCTGTATGTTATTTATATTATTCAAATGAAAATTCTCTTTTATTAAAACCAAGAAATACCGGAGAAGACTATATTGGATGTTATCGTGGTACTTTTATGAAACTAGATGGTAATAAAATTTTGTTTATGTATTCATCTGGAAATGGAATTTACAATCTTTATACATTTCGCCCTAACAGTTATGCATAATTATAAATATTATAGTGTATAAAACAAGAATAAATGAACTGTAATTTTATCAAATATCAGGTCATATTTGTGTCCACAATGTTTATAACAAAGAATTAATTATTAATAAATATTATAGATATTTTTTATTAATAACTTCGAAAAAGTAATTGTTTATCTAAAATAAAAATTTATATGTTACAATATCAGTAAGTCATCTATTATTTATAGAATTGTTCTTTTAAACCAAAATATAGAACACTTATACTTTCTGCACATAAAAATATAAAGAACATACTATCTTCATATTGCTGTGTTTATTGAATGACAAGTTTATAAATGTATTTAAATCTCAGTAAATGTTTTCATATAAATATTTAATTGTATTATATTCAAATAACAATATATTGATAAGTTAATATTATGAACTTATTTTATAATTCATTTAAATTAGTAAAGCTTTTCAAATAACATAAAAACGTTTGAAGAATCAAGATAATTAAGATCACTTAGAGATTTATTTTACATATACTAACAAAAAATTTACCCATTTTTTTCTTAAAAAAAAGGTTATAATATAATATAAAAAATTGATTTTCATAAATTAAATAACATTGTTGAAATATTATGCTGTGTATATTTCAAAATATAATAATTACTATAAGATACACGTTGTAACATATTTAATAATATAAAAATTCATGTTTAGATTTGTAAAATTATTATAAATGGGCTTGGAGAATTCTTCTCTTGAAGCATATAATAACTGTTAATAACTTTTGCATTAAACAAGATATTAGAAATTAAGGTATAAGAACAAATATAACGTTATATCTATAAATTTTTGTTAATAGAGGAAAAGAAATGACTCATGTTTTGAAGTTTTCATTTTTATATATAAAAATTAAGTAAAAATACCCAGAAAATAAAGGTAAAAATAGTAAATATTATGTACAATTTTTATATTGTTAATTATTATGAAGTATTCCAACATTTAAACAAATATTATAAAACGATCTTTGTTTTTTTAGCACTATCTTTGTTATAGGAATATTAATTTAATAAAATTCTTTCACATGTTTAAAATTGAAAAAAATTATCCACAAACATCTTTTTAGGCAATTTTATGAGGAAAAAAAATGAGTAAATGAAACAGTATATAGATATATACTCTTATTATTTATAATCCTCAATAAAAAAGTGAAAAAAAAGTTGAAAAATATAAATATATTTATCATCTATTATAACACAGTTATCATCTAAATATAAGTTAATATTAAAAAATAGAAACACTGTTATTCCATTTTTAAAATATAGAGATTTAATAGAATGAAAAAAAAAGGTTAACATAATAATATCTAATTATTTTTTTTTAATAAATTTTCATGGAATAAAATAAATAAGATTAAAAAAATAAAATTTAATTATTTAAAAAGTTATTTCTTTTCTTACTATCTTTTGAATAGGTATAAGCAATATCCTTTAAAAAGATTTTTCTATTCATATATATTTTATATGTATATTTTTATTTTATATTATTTCTTTCATTTTAAATTTACGTATAGATTTTTTTCTTAAATATAATTTAACTACAGATGTAAGGAAGAATTCAAATTAACTTTTATGTTCAAATGGAAATTCGTTTACGTTTTTTTTGTCATTGAACGTGTATAATTATAAAGATACCATCAAATTTGATTTTATAAAAATTATTAAAAATTTTATTAATATAATATTACTTAAGAACAATAAAATATACTTATATGATATATTAATTTTTACCGTGCATATATTTTTGTAGTAATTTAAACAGTTAAATTAATGAAGATAATAATGCCATGTTACAAATAATTTGTTATAAAGTTATATATAGATTATTATATACTCCTTGTAGAATTATCCTATATAATATAAAATAAATTTTTTATAATACTTTTTAGGTTAATGGCATGCTAAATAAACACTTAATACTTTTCGTTACATAGTCAATAAATATTGTTATTAACCTTTTTTAATTTTTAATAATATAAAATGAAGTATAGCTAAAAATTTGGTAGTCAATGAAATGTTTTTGAGTAAATACGTACATTAAAATACTTACATTAAAAAAAAATATAGGTATGTATAAATATTTTATTTTTTCTTTTGTATAATATTTTTTTTTAATTCTTTTTCTTCAGAAACATTTTTTTTTTTTTATTATGTAAGAAATAAAATATTATTTTTTTTTACAAAATAAAAAAAATTGAGCTGCGATATTTACATATAATTCTAGGATGTGAATGGCTTAAGTTGTTAATAACGGATAATAGATGTCACTATAATTGTTAAGAAATATCATTGAAAATTAAATATAAATTACAACTATTTATCGTATATAAACTAATTATGCAAAGATTATATAATTATATATAACAAATGATTTTATAATTAACAAAACAAAAATATATTTCACGTGTTCTTTATTAATTTTATCGTTTATAATAACATAAATATACTTAAAAGGCTAATTATGAAATTGCATATTAAACGAAAAAATTAAAAAAGAAAACGTAGAGTAGTTTCCACTTATTATTTTATTGAATAAATGGATCTTATAACTAAGGCCTAATCATTATATAATTATGTAATCTAATATGAAATATATGAATTATATAAAATTTATGTTTCTTTAAATAAAAGTATGTCAAATCAATATTTTTGTTGTTCTTAACAAATTAATTTGCAAGATGTTAACGTAGTCTAATAAAAATTTAAAATTATTTTTAAAGAAATTTAAATAGTAAATAAAAAGGTTAACTATATATTATTACTGTTTTTCATCAAAATTTTTACCAATAATAAAAAATATAATTGATCAATAAACAATTAATTTATTGTTCTCTTAAATTGTTTTCCCCAAAATTTCTTCAAAAAAAGAAATTGCAGAAAACTAAAAATAAATATAAATGTAAAACAGAAAAAACGTTCATAAAAAAAATATTTATTTATTTTTTTTTTAATGTAAAAACTATACAATAGTATTTTTAGGTAAATAGTTAAAAAAAATTCTCATAAAACTTAACTACATAACTCTTTATTTTATATTTTTTTTACAAATTAATATATTTAGAGAGGTTAATAATATTATATATTATTCATTGATCTATTACTTTCCGAAATAAATTACATAAGTTTTTGAAAGTTCTCATTCTCATTTTACTTCATTTATTATTACTAAATTATGGAAAAAAAGTGATTTAAGCAGTTTCTTTTACACTTATAAATACCCCTAGATTTTTTAATATTTGTATTGTCATAAATATGAGAAATTACGTTATTATCTTAAATTATTTCCCTAAAAATATTTTTCATTATTCCATAGAATTACATAGAATCATTTCTTAGAATAAGTGATAACACATTAAAAATAAATGCACCATATATAGGAAGTATAAATCTAGCATGTTTTTTGTTGTCTTCAAATTAAATATTGTAAAATTTTTTTTAAGATTTATCTCTAAAACCCGCTAATTTCAATGAAATAATTGAAACATATGTTTTATATAGGGAATAACTTGCAAACAATCCATTATATATTTATTTAAACGTAAATATCTATTTCAGCTCTTTAAATATTATCCTTTTTTCTATCCATTACAGTAGATAAAGTGTATTTTATACAGTTAAATCACTCATGACATTTAATCATAAGGTGCAATGAACTTTTAAGGGTAATTCATTAGACATTTATTTATTTAATGGTTTATAGCTTTACTTTTGTTATCCCGTACATAAGAGGAGATTTGATATTTATTCGTTGTTTCCATAACTTAATTCTCCCAAAACAACAAATTTCATTCGAGGTCTATTTGTAATTTTTCTCTACATCTTTTATATTTTATATCACTTTATCATTGAAATTTTAAATTATTTTAACAGATAGTTATATTTTCCTTTTTGACTGTTTTTACTTCAACTATACATATAAATTTCATCATTTATTTTGAAAAAGTATGCTAATTTTATCACAATATCTTTCTTATTTAGTGAAAACAGTTATTTGACGTTATTGAGGAAAATTCAATCTTATTTATTAATTTTTCTTATCTTTATAATTTCTACTATGGACAATATTCCTTATTTTATTGAATCTTTTCACTTATTTTAATTAGTAAACTTTTGAAATGTATTTTTTCCTTTATTTATTAATTGTATGTTGTAAGATTTTTGTATGAAAAAAAAATTGAAGACAATATGAACTCGATTATGTTAATATTGTTTATTTTAGAAAATATTATTTAATGAACATAAAATATCATATAATTTAATTATAAAACATTAAATAAGTGGTTTAATTTATGTAGAAATAATTTTCTTTCAAATAAATATGTAATAATTTAATTTTTTTGTTATTGATATAATGATAATTTTTATTAGAAAGATTTGTTCATTTTACTAAAAATTTTTCCTTATTCATTGAAACTTAAATCCTCAGCATGAAAATTTTTCATTATATGTAAAATAATATTTTCTATCAAAATATGTATTTTTCCGTAAAATAAATTTTATCCAAAAAAAATATAATTATCAACAAATATAATACCTGATTTATTAATTGTTCAATGACTCTGTTAGTATCAAACGAACAAATTAATAAATAGAATGCAGAGTGAATTTTACTTAATTTAATTTTAATTTAAAAATCTTTATTTATATTAACATCAAATAATACTTAATACTTAATTATTTTTTTTTAAGTTAATTAACACAACACTGTAATGTGTAGCATCTTTAATATTACATTTTAACTTATAAAAAAATATATACTCTACATTAATTTGTACATTACTAAAAAAAAAATAAACTAATATAAAATTATCTGTTTTTTTTTAGTTTATATGATTTTTCAGTAACTATTTTAGTGTATGAATTTATGATTAAACGTTGTACCCACGATTCAGAATGAATAAAATAAAATATTTTTACTCAATTTGTTCATTTAAATGCTACATAAGAGAAGTTTGTTATATTATTTATTA